CCCCCCCCCCAACCCACCCTCCCCTTTCCTTTCCGGAGAAAGCCTATGACCATTTCCAATGGGCAAATAAATGAGTAACCACCGTGTGGAACTCGCCTGGGCTGACAGATTCCGGGGCCACAACTGATTTACATGCGAAGGAGGAGGAAGGAGGTGAAAGAAGAACGCGCGGGGAAAATAATAAGAGTCACGCGCGGAGAGTGGGCCCTGGACACAGGTCTCCCGCACGGCCGGCCGGGGTGCGGTGCCCAGCCCGCGACACACTGCGCCACGCGGGAGGGCGGCGGGTGGCCTCCGAGGGGCTGGCGCGCAGCAGCCTCCGCAGTGCCCCCGCGGCAGCCCCTCCTCCGGGCGAGGGCGCGCCACCCAGCCCGGCCCGGGCGACCCCGCAATCGCCCGCCCTCCACGAGCGAAACCCCGCCGGGCCCGCCGCCGGCTGAGCGTCCGGGCGCGGGCAGCGGGGGCCGAGGGGCGCCGGGCACATCCCGGGGGCGGCGGCCGCCCCTCCTCCCGCGGAGCCCTGGCTCCTTGTAAAGTCTCAGCCAAACTTTGTTAGGCGCAGCCGGCGACGAGGGAGGGGGTCCGCGGCGGGCGGGCGGCCGTACCTTCGCAGACGCCCACTTCGTACTCGGTGATGGAGTCGCCGTGCAGCGGGGGCCGGATGACACAGCGCAGCCCCCGGTCGCAGGCTCCGTGCAGCCCGTAGGCACCGCCGCAGCTCTCGTTCCGCTGGCGGGCGCACATGTAGCAGCAGCCGCAGACGCCCTGCACGATGCTCCCCGGGCAGCTCCGCGGCTCCTCGCACTTGGACTCGTCGCAGGGCAGGCAGACCAGCGCCCGGGTGCCGGAGCGCGCCAGGAGCAGGAGCAGCCCCAGCAGCGAGACCGGGAGGTGCCCGCAGCCGGCCAGCCCCCTGCCCCCCGCCACCAAGTACATCCTCCTGCGCCGCCGCCGCCGCACCGCAGCCCGCGGTCCAGCCGCCCCTCGGGGCCCCCGGGCGCGCCTCCCTGCGGGGCGAGGCCCCCGCCCCTGCGGGCAGCGCCCACCGAACCTGCGAGCGTCGGCGCCGGCGGCAGCGGCGGCTCCCCTCCTCCTCCGCCGCCTCCTCCCGGAGGGAGGGGAAAAAAAAAAAGTTTCCTCCCGGCGGCTCCGGCTCAGCCCAAACTTCTGGCGGCGGCGGCGGCGGCGGCGGCGGTGGCCGCGCTCGGCTCCAGCCGGGGCTGGCGGCGCCTCCTCCTCCTTCCCGTCGGCCGCCCCGCGGCGGCGCAGCTTCTGGGCCGGTCCCCGCCTCCGAGCCGCCGGGTGGGCGCGGTGGCGCAGCAGAAGGTCCGCGGCGTCCGCTCGGCGCGCCCGCTCGCCCCACTCCCGCGCCGCGGCTCCGGGCGCTTGTTTATGGCAGGGGCTCCGCCGCGCGGGCGCGCCCTCCCCGCTCCGCCTCGGTCCCGCCCCCCCGCGTTGCGCGCCGCTCATTGGCTGCCCCCCGCGGGCCGGCCCCCGCCCCCGGGTGGCCCTCCCTCCACGCCTACTCCGCCCCCGCCTCCGCTTCCTCCAGAGCTGGGCGCACCCAGCGCGCGCCCAGGCGCCTGCGTCCCGAGTGCCCGCCAGCTCTTTGGCCACCTCGGCCGGCCCGGGAGCGCCGGGGGCAGCTCCGGGGGGCTTTGGAGTCGCGAGAGTGGCGGGGACCTCACCCCTACCCCGAAGCGCCGGACCGGTAGGGACGATTACTGCAGCCGGGGCTGTGCACCCGCGGGATCGGAGCCCGGGAAAAGGAAGCAAAAGCTTGGAACCTCCGCAGGCTGGACGAGGATCCATCTTTCACCTGAGCTGGGAATAGACTTTGTAAAAGATATTATGTAATGGAGTCTCGGGCAGCTCGAGACGTCTCCAGCGAAGCTGCTGGTGAATTAATTAAGAGGTTCAGATGGTTTTAGGTAAATATTCTGCGGGGTGGGGTTGGGGGTGCGGAGGACTTGTGCACTGCGACTTGAGTTGGATTTTAACTGTATACATCCTGTAGGTTTTATCGCCCTGCTGTCTGTGCCGAGGTGCTGTATCACGGAAGAGGGGGACTGGAAAGTGACAACTGAGCCCCTGACTGGAGGCAGACCGAATACAAGTCTTGACGTGACGCTGAAGCCGTGGATCTCACGCACCATTAATGTCATCTGACATTACCATTTTGTTTCCCAAGCTCATGGGCAAAAGTGGTGGGTCTTTGTATTTATTTATTGTGGATATTAATAAAATGGATGTGTAGTAAAATATCCTTTGTGATAAACCAGGTAAAGAAGCAACTGACGCGATGCAAAATGCATCATTGAAACCTCGATTCTCTTTGTGGTTGTCAGTACTGGTTCTCCCTGTGATGCCCCTGATCACTGATTGGGTGAGAACCAATGATCATTTCGGTAACGGCCCACCATTCATAGAAGGATGTGTACCAGCGTGTATAAAACATGAATTGACAAAAAGTGACTTGGATCAGCATAAAAAAATTTAAAAGTCCAGTCCTGTGGCAGGTGTGAAACAGGCATGACTGGTGGACCCTCTGCCTCAGAGTGGCCTGGCTGCAGAAAGGGTCCTGAAAATCGTGACTTATGAACCAAAAGTTAACAGGAGCAATATAAGTAGAAAAGAAATAAAGATACCTTTGAAATTTTCTGTGGAGCAAATTTGTACTTATGATAAGTATTTTGATTTAACCACATTTATCCCCAACCAAAAAAAAAGTTACCAATGGAATAGTCCTCCATCACTGGCATCAGAAAACTGTAAACATTTCTCCAGTCATTCTGCTTTGTCCTACAGAGCAGAAAAGACTCATTATCACTGAAGTTATAGGAAGCTGTTCAACATTGAAAAGAGGGAATAAGCACCCCATTTTCTACAGGGGTTTAAGGAGCTATTGAGAGTACCAGTTCCCAGGATTGCTGTGGAAACAGTTCCCACAACAGTGTAGGGAGTCAGATTAGAAGATCTCCAAAGGCCCTCATTTCCTATGGTTCTAGAATAAGTATTAAGTGAAATCATTTATAACATGCTAGGTTTTCTATTAGCAAAGTGAAAGAATAAAGCACACAACTCCATTAAAGATGGTTATTTCTTGTAACCCAATGAAGCCCCAGCACTTCACTATGGGATTTGCCAGCAAACTGTCATCATTGCACTATGTTAAAAAGCCCTTCCTTCCACTCTTGCAAAGGAGGTTATCTATATTTCCTTTCAAATGTGAATATAAAGACATTATTAAATTGTAGCAGCAGATAACATTATAGGATTCAACAGGAAAAGCCAAGGTCAGGTGATGGAAAAAAATGAGAAGTGAGAAATCCCCTGTAGTTTGAAAAAGTACTAATCACTGTCAAAGCTTTGCCTGTTTTTTCTGTGGTTTTCATTTCATAAAGGCAATATATCCAAGACTGAGAAAAGCTATAGATTTGGCAGAGACAAGGGACACCATGGACATTACTGTCCATCCTTCAGGGACTTCAGTGGTAGAACCACCTGAAAGGTAGATAGGCACAAGGCGAGAAGGGCCAGCTTCTCGAAGGAATTTGAGTCAGGCTTAGGACTAGAGGGAGTATTAGACTAAGATGCATGTACATCTTCTCAAAGAATCAAATTCATGTGATTCTTGGCATAGAAATAGTCACAGATGTGATGGAGAAAACAGAATTTTTTGAAGTCAGGAAACAGTGGCAAATGAGAAACCTGTAAGGGCCTGGCTGCTTATCTGAAATCAGTTTGTACACTAGGATCTCTGCAACTTGGTTCTTGAGGACCCAGCAGACACTATAAGGTGGCCAAGAAGCTGAGGCAAATGGCATTGAGGCTCAAACACAAAAAGATCTCACCATCTTCACAGACTAAGGGTCTTGAAAGAGGTTGGATGAATCCAAAATAATGAGAATTGGAGGTCAAATGGGAAGGACCCTGAGAAGCACATACAAATAAATGTAAGAATTAGAGCCATACACAGAATATAGTTCTTCTCTTTGGGAAGCCTTCTGAAGCTTACTCCCTTTTCTGTTCTACAGTATTTTGTAAGTGCCTTTCACTTGTGGCGTTTTTCATATTGTTTATACATGTAATTCTGAACCCAGGTAGATTATCAGTTCATTGGTGGGAGCAGGACGTGTAAGAGTGTGTACATTCATGAATGAATGAGAAGGAGAAGAACTACAGACAAAAAGATTGTGAGTATTTTTTTTCTGACCCTTCTGTCTTGGTTTTAGTAAATGTTTCTAAAATAAGTAGTTGAAGGGGATGCTTGGGGCCCGAGAGAAGCTTCCAAACTGGTGACGAACCGCAGTCTGCAAGGAAAGGGAGTGAGAATGTATTTCTGACGGAGGTCTGGAAGAAGAGACAGTCCGCCCTCTGTTGGCCACTGGACAGGTTGGATGGGAGGGATTAATAAATTGTTGAATATGTCTGAAAATCAAAGTACCTAGTTGGAGGCCTAGCAGAGAGAGGAAATGAGACAGCACCAGAGAGAACACTAGTATTAGAGCCTTGCTCCCTGATGTGGCCTCAAGTCCAGAGTCTTTCCTGGAGTCACACCTTCTGGGATGTGGATATTGTTTGTGTTTTCCTGAAATGAAGAGAGATGTGTAGATGTTGCTTTTTGAGTTGGATATACAGTATGCATTATTACTGAGTTGTACAAGAGATAATGCCTCATTGTTTTATCAAAGCTTTGCATACATAGTAGAAGAAACCAGGACAACAGGTCTGACTCCTTTCACCCTCTTCCCCCATCTTTCTGGTCCCCATAACTGGGATTGCCTATATCCAGGTCTCACCTAATCTAGGCCAGGGCCAGTTCCATGACATAGGCAGACCCCTACTTGAGGTTCTCTGTCAATCTGGTTCTTGGGCTCTGTTACGGCTCCTAAGACCTCCTATTTACTAACAAGGCTGTTATCTCCTGTGCCAGGGTACAGCAGGTGCTGTAGAGATAATAGGAAGGTGTTAGAAGGCTAGCAAGGCCTGAGCATAGAACACTGGTCTTTTTTTTTTTGGTACGGGGCATGGAACTCGGGTTCTTGTACTTGTGGGGCAGGCGGTGGAACCACTGAGCTAAATCCCTGGCCCTAGAACACTGGTCTTTTCTAAGCTTCAGCCTAGGGTTCTCCCCATACCCCCGCAAATTTAAACAAGACATTTATCCATTCTGAATTCAGTTTTCTCCTCTCTAAAGTGGACACAAGAATACCAACCTTACAGGGTTATATGGACAAAATGATCATTCTTCTGTTCTGTTGCTGTTTTTAGAGTCCTCTAATTGAGTGTCTCCCTGATGTTTAAGTGGGAATCCCTGCTGTCTGCATCCATTGCTATGCAACATCTATGTATCCCAGTGTTTGCTTGTTTTCTTTCTTAGAATCTTCTATTGGTTTAGCACTCTGTTTAGGCTAGTCGCAGGGTTGAAGGCTTTGTGACAGTTTCTTGATCTCATTTCAGTCTCAGACTTATTTTAAAGGACAACAATTGATAATGATAATAAGTACCAACTAATATTTATAAAGAACATTACTTTCTAGTCAACGTGCTAAGCACTTTGTATGGGTTATTTTTAATTAATCTGTAGAATGCTTCTCTGAGTCCAAAGTCTTATAGTATCTCTAATGTCCTATGTTGTCTTCATTTTACAGTTGAAGAATCTGAGGCGTAGACAACTGTGTATATGGATATCAGGTTTGGAGCCTGTCTTTTTCTGCCTTTAGAGCTTGTGACCTGGGTAATGGAGAGTTGCTTTCTTTTCAATTTTTGTTTTTTGCAGACCTAATTTAAACTTGCTAACATTTGTGGTAAATATCTTGCTTTATTTGCTAACTTACATATAAAAGTTAAAATAATGATTAGTATATCACCATTATATAATATGTCCATTGTTTTCCTAAATATAGAATAACAAATATTTAGATAGTGTTTTCTGTGTGTATATTTTCTGGTTACCCTAGTATATTATTCCCATTTAATTCTCCATATAATCTGATGATGTAGGTACTATAATTACCTGCATATACAGGTTGGGAAACCCGAGACACAGGAAAGTTAACAAATACACACAATGTTACACTTATTTAAAAGGAAAGATTTTCCAGGCAAGTGGCTCATGCCTGTAATCCCAGCACTCTGGAAACAGGCAAGAACACCATCATGAGTTCAAGACCAGCCTAGGCTACATAGTGAGTTCAAGGTCAGCCTGGACTACATAGCAAGACCCTGTCTCAAAAAACACAAGCAAAATAAAATAAAAGGAAAGACTGGAATTCAAATGCAGGCAGAACAGCTCCAGAGTCCATGCTATGCAGTAATGTCAGTGTGTTCCTTACAAGTACTGTACATGTTCACTGGGGCAAAATGAGAAAATACAAACAAGAAAAAGAAAGAGCTAGAAAGAAAAAGAACAAAGGAAAGGAGGGAAAAAGAAACATTCATAATCCTACCATTGAGCTATAACCATTGGTAACATTTATTAGACATCTGTGAAGGCTTATCTTCTCCCATAAAATGTAAAATATGAAATGAGATATACCATCTTAGCTCATAATTGCTTCTTCACTTATACATATGCATGGCATATTGATCTTGAGAATCAATAACCGCTTTCTTTTTTAGCACTGAATATTATTTCATTGAATAGGTTTATCACATTATATTTAAATGCTGCCATATTAATAGACTCTTAAGGTATTTGTTTGGTTTATGCTTTCACTGCTATAAACAAAGGTTCCCATGATGCCTTCTCATCATATCTTCAAATATTTTCTTTAGTAAATTCCTAAAATGGGATTATTTGTGGATCAAAATTTATGCCTATTTTGATGTGTATTGACAGACAGCACCTTACATTGTAAAATTTTAAATTTTTTTAACCTTTAAAAAGTGTTTTCACATTCATTATTCCATTAGATTCTTAAAAATGTTCAACATTAGGAAATTTTAGCTATGAATCATCAAATGATTCAACTGTGCAAATTACCAAATCATATAACCGGTAAATTGTATGCCATCTGAGTTTTTAAGAGAAAGTGATTATGTACTCAATTACAATTTTCTCCTAAGAAGGAATGCTTTTATAAAGGAGAACTAATGAAATCATATAAATTAGAAACCTTTCAGAAAGTGAGGGTATTTGAAGCAATATGGGCTTACAGCTGTTCTTCTGGATAGCTAGAAAAAGCAAGTGTAAGAGAATTGAGAAGACCCAGCAATGCATTATAGTGAGAAGAAATTTCCACCTAACACAACGCTACCCACTTTTATTTCCTTGCCCACTTCCTGTTCTGGTTTCAATAGCCAGATGATTCATAGATCCAAATTGCAGCCATTCTTCCCCAAATCTATTTGGCTTATGTTAAGAAACACAATCAGATCTGTTTTAACAATGGTGTCATTCCTCAAACATTCTGATAATGTATGTCTATTTGTGAATTCCCTGCTGTAGTCCCTTGAGGAAATAAGCCTCATTGTTTATCATATCTGACCCAACATGGTATAAAGCAAGCAGATTATCTTCTTCATTCCCCAGATATGACTCCAACTTCTTATAATCTCTGTGAAGTTCATCTTCAAAGGAAGATTTGTCACTGCTGGGACTATTGAAAGAACTAAAACATGTTCTAGAGGAAATCAAAAGAGGAGTTTTATAAAAAGAGTAGGCATTGATAATATTCATGGAACAAGCACACACACTGTTTCTCCAAGTGACAGCTAACAAGGAGCCATCAAGCATTGAAAGTAAATTCTGCTATGAAAATGTTCTTTAGAATACTGACGTTTTGTATTCAGGTCCTAGGTATCATACTACTTTGTCATTGAAATCAAAACTCATTGCCTGTCCTCTGGTAGGAAATTGCTCTGTCCCTTCCTTCATTCTGGACACACAGCCAGCCAACACTTACCTGCTTTCTTCTGAAGTTAGCTGGAGCCATGAAATGTGGATGGAAGTGGTGGGGCATCTTTTACCTGCCTGAAATCAAACACTTCTCCATAAGCCTGCATTTTGTTTTATTCCCTTACTTCTGGTTGGCTGAGGATCTTTCCACAGAGGACTCTGAAGCCCTAGGAAGATACTAGATGGTTGGGTCCTGGGTTCTGAGGTGACTCTGGGAAATGGGTCTCCCATACACAGACACACATTCACATATACACACCTCACTGAATTTCAGCGGACTCTAATATGAGCGAGAAATGAGTCTTTACTGTGATAAGACACCAAGTTTGTTTTGTTTTCATAGTAGTTAGCCTATCCTAACATAGTATTTTAGTGTAAGCAGAAATAACATTAACTGTTTATTCAGGCCCTGTTTTTTGTTATATGTTCTTAGACAAAATGCACTTTAAAAAAAATTCTTTCATTGGTACATTTTAGGTATACAACACGTTTACATTTGTCATTGGGTGCTTGTACCTGTACATGATATATCTTGATTCTTACTTTTTCCCCATTATCTATGTGCCCTTCACCCCCTCCACCCTTCCCTATTTACATAGATTTCGTTTCCATTTTTTCTTTTCTCGTAATTTTTCCTTTCCCTTCTTTCCTTTCTCCTTCCCCTCCCACCACCCCTACACATTTGAACCTTTTAATATTTCAAATTATCAATTATTCATTTTAATCATTTTAATCCTTATTTATACTTTCAGTTTCTC